AGTGGGCCTTGTTGGGGGAACATTGGCTGCCCCCCCCCTCCAATCACCGTGAAAAAGTGGCCTCCTTTTTGAGCTCTGGGGTTGCCAGGACCCCTGGGTGTGAAGTGGCCTCTGGACGAGGCCAAGGTTTGCCTCATTTGAAACGTAGCTTTATCTAGCTGAGGGTGGGTGCTCCATTGGCCGCAGGCCATGGAGGGCAGTTCATCCTTCTCCTGAGAAGCCGGGACCGTCCCCAGCGTTCCATTGAGTCTTCTACCACGTTAGCCCCAAGCAAGGCAGGTGTGAGGGGGGTTCATGGCCCCGTATGGCCAGGGGCCTATGCCGGCCTTTGGGTGGGAGGCAGTCAGGGACAGCACAGAGATAGTGTTTCTTCGGCTTCCCGTGAGCCCCCGAGGAATCAAGGCAGGGGTGTAACAGCCCTGCGCAGTCCTGAGGCTGCAGATGGGTGCCGTGGAAAGCCGTGACAGAGCTAGCTTCGCCCCCTCGTTACGTCCATTCACCTCGAACCCGCCCCCCTCCCATCCTGCAAGGCAGTAGGGCTCCTCTGTCCGCTCCTGGGGTCATTTCTGCACTGACTCCACCTCACCATGGAGAGATGTGGGTGAACAACACAGGCTGCCCCTTCGAAGGCCGTCCTGGCTCCTTTGGGGCCCACCAGGCCTGGCTCCTTCGGGCCCACGTGTGGAAGGTCCTGGCGCATTCACTCTGATACTGAAGGGGCAGCCATTTTGAAAGACTACCCCGGCGACGCTGTTCCCCCACCCCGAACTGCAGTCTCCTACGACGTAACACTGTGACTGGAAATACCACAGCGGGCAGCCCACCCCTGGCTCCGGACTGGTTTCTCCATCCAGCCGAGGACATGCTCCTTCACTGTGGCATTGTGACTCCTTCTGCGTCCGGCGGAGAGCAGGCTTCAGGCCACCTGGCAACAGAAAGGCGCATTCCTCTGGGTGTGGCTGACTCTCGTTTCGTTTACTGCTCAGTGGTGAATTCAACCGAGCCATTGCCCACTGGTGGACAGATGGAAGAAAGCACTTTATGGGGGGCTGGGCAGGCCAGCCGACTCTGCCTTGGCATGTACCTCGTTGGGTGCGTGAGGCTTGGACACCAGCGTGCAGGGGACGGTCCGTGGCTTCTGTGGAGACAGTTGATAGCCGTGGATAGCTCCACTCTCCCACGCTCTGCCACCGCAAGGAGCCCCACGCACTAGCCGGGACAGCTGGACTGTGGTCCCCAGGTGCAGAAAGAAAACCTGGCCAGGATGTATGTTTAGGACCCTTCATCCCACCGGCTCACAAAGCGATTCACAGACTGTGTCCCTAGGAACACCGCGCCCGCCACGCCAACACTGCGCCCCTGTTGTCCCTGCCCATGCAGCTAGGCCAGGAAGCGGAGAGAGCGCTGTGTCCCAATGGAGCCGAGGTGGGAATCGGAGGAGGTGGAGATGCCGCACTCCAGGTGCGCCCTGGGACTGGTGACTTTTGGGGCAGAGACCAGCACCGTGGAACCTGCGCAGATTCCACGTCCAGCTGCCATTAGCTCACTAGCATGCAGGGCCATGGGAGCCCCTTGCCTCAGACCCCCTGTCGGGGCATTGGCTGGGGGCCCCACAGCCTGGCCTCTTAGCCAGCCCCCATGCTGATGCATGGGTTGGCCCTGACGCTCTCAGAACTGCTTCGGCCCACACGCAGCACTGCCATGGTGTCCCTTGGAGGCCTCTGCCAGGGCCTGGCCCTCTTGACCTGGGAGCATCCAGGAAGGAATGGCTGTGAATGGCAGACAGCTCAGACACTTAAGGGCCAGACTGCTTCTGGGTTCTGGCCGTTAGTTTCCAAGGACGTCCATGGGGAGAGCCGAGGCTCGTGCCCCTCTTTCCTGGGGTGAGGTTGAGAGCAGAGGGCGCCACATGGCCTTGCCAGCTGCAGACCATTCCAGAAGAGGCCTCTGGTCAATATGACTGTCTAGGAGCTTGGAGAGTTGGAAAGGCCTAATGGCTACTGGGGAGAGGGGTGGGCTTGGGGTCTAAGCGGAGCTCCAAAGGGATGGTCTCTGAATGTTCCTTGCTCACAGCTACAGCCCCCCTGAGCTGGAGCTTCAAAGGTGCCTGAGGCCGTGAGGTACCCAAACCCCATGGGAATACCATGAGGCTGTGTCTACATTGGCACCCCTTTCCGGAAAAGGGATGCTAATGAGACCAGTCGGAATTGCAAATCCGCGGGAGTACTCCTACTTGAAAGTAGGAATAAAAGATCCTCCGGGAAAAGGGTTTATTTTCCGGAGAATCACGTCTAGACTGGCGCTTTTCTCCGGCTTATCCCCAAGCCGGAAAAAAGCGGCAGCCCAG